AAAAGATGAGAGTGGTCATGAGTGACATTTTTGGTGGTTTTGTTTGTTTATTTAATTGGTTACTTATTTACGCGCCAGAGTCTCTCATCTTCCCGCCCCTTTCTCACTCCAGGGGCAGGGAAGATAAGAGACCTTGGGAACGAAGTTGCGATTCTCCCTCCGGAGTGTTGATCGTCCTTCTGGAGGGTGGATCCTCCCTCCTGAGCTATTGATGCTTCCTTCAGGAATGTTGATTTTCCCTTCGGAGTGTTGATTTCTCCTCCAGAGTGTCCATCCTCCCTCCGTAGCGTTGATCCTCCCTGGGGAGTGTCAATCCTCCCTGCAGAGTGTCAATCTTCCTTCCGTAGCGTTGATCCTCCCTGCGGAGTGTCCATCCTCCCTCCGTAGTGTTGATCCTCCCTGCGGAGTGTCAATCTTCCCTAGGTAGCGTTGATCCTCCCTGCGATTCTCCTTTCGAGAGGTCATTACTCAGTTCGTGTAGCTTCAGCCTGTTTCCATATTTGGGCCAGAACCAGTTTAAAACAAAAATACAAAAGTTCTTTATTTGAAAACGTAATGATAGGAACCGGAAGTTACTTTCGGAACTTACGGTGTGGCCGTTTTTCTCGTAATTGACATCAGGAGGCTCCTTTCGCCTTGTGAAAACAAATGATGCCGCAGTTCCTTTCTCCTCGAGCTCGTCCCCCATGTTTTCCTTTCTCCACCCCGTTTGGGTTAAAGAGTACTACTGCGCGCCGATGCCCAAACCTTCGGAAAAGTTTACAAAACTCTTGCAGCCAGCTAAGGCTTTTAAAACAATTAGCCACACTTGATAGACTTATGCATACCGCAAAATTCCGTTTCCAAGGCTCATATAATATGTGAACAAAAAACTATTCCCGGATATAAGCTCTCGCTTAGTTTTTCTTGTTTAGTAAATATAATTCAGCTCACAGAAGCAGTAAAATGTAGAACAATGTAATTTTACTACCTCGTCAAATGAAATTAAAGAAAATGTTCAGTGCTTTAAGTGCACAGCAGTTATTGAAAGCTGACATGAAGGGCATATCGTATATTAAGCAGGCTTCAACTTTATCCAGCGTCAAAGGGCCATACTGTGCACAAAATGTACCTCCGGTATTTGCCATTACGAGGAAGCTCCATACAATGGCCTCTGTGCTGTAACTGGGTATTTGCTTCCTTAGTTGTGTTTTGCGTTTCTTGTCCCCGAGAAGATAAATCGTCTCTTAAAACTACGGGATGTTGGTCTTATCAGCTCATTACGAGACGTTTTTTCTATATCACTTATTTATAAGCCGCGGCCCCTTGCCTATTTATGTGTCCACCAAAACCCCTTGTTAGCTTATTGAGTTGTATCGACCCAGCGATTGGGATTAGTATAGGTAATCATACGGTTTCGAGTTCAATTTGGAATGAATTTGCACGAGTGAGTTTTTCAAAAAGTTGAAATTGCACGAACCGCTTCGGCGAGTGCAATTTCAGCTTTTTTAAAAACTCACAAGTGCTAATTAATTCCAAATTGAACGAGAAAAACCGTATGATTACTTATTAATAATATAAACATGAAAAAAATTTGCGTGGAGGAAATGCCGGAAGACCTTTCTTGAAGCTGTTTTTTCTCATTCTGCACTAAATGTTCGTCATCATTTTATGTGACATCATTGGCTTAGAAAATTTCCTACTTTCTTTCAGCCAATCATAATCTAGAATTACGATGTGTAATTTGCACTGTTGTTACACTTTTTGCACTGGTGTTACACTTCAACTGCACTGCTCTCAGCCAAACAGAATCGAGTAATTTTTTCATGTATATTATTATTACCGGAATTTCACGGTATGTGAAAGATCGGCATGCTCAGTGTTTGTGTGGTCATCTCTACTTTGGGTGGCATTTTATACAAGGGAACGAAATCAGTCCACCATGCAACGGACAATTTCTGTTTTACTTTTAATCCATTTTCCATCCAGTTTTATATACCTGGACCCAGTTGTTCAAATAAAGGACGGATAACGCCATCCACCTGATAAATTGCTATCCAGTGGATAAGTGTTAACAAAACAAACTTTGCTATCCACTGGATAGTGTTTTATCCGGTGGATAACGTTATCCACCTTTCGAACAACTGGGGCCCGATTCTACCATGCATATGCAGTACCATACGATATAAAAACACCAATAAACTTTATCTGACCTAACTTGTCTTTCAACATCCGCGGATTTCGCGAATAAATTACTATAACTTGACAAATATATTTTTTCGAAAAACACAAAATAATAAAAATAACGGTTTAAACAACATCTTTCATGAAAATGCACTACATGAGGTGTTCACTAGAAAGATTGTTCAATATTTGAAGTCGAAGTCCACTGGGGAGAATTCTCTCTATTTTCAGTGCCATTTTCAGTATAGTGAAGTGATTCCAAGAAACTTACGCAGCATTCCCTCCCAAAAAGTTCTTCGTGATCATTTCGGGTCTAGTTTGCCTGACAAGATCTGTGGACATCATTCGGTGGGGATCGGGATCATGCGCGGTCATTTAGGGCGCTGTGACATCATGCTATGACGTCATACAGACGTCAGTTCAATGCCATCAACGTAGCCTGCTCCCCTGCTGAAGGGATAAGGCGGATTTCTCAGAGTAAAAAATGAAATAATGTAGCACATTTATTCAACACGGAAACATTTGCCATATAAGTCCGTTGCAATGCATCCACCTTTGTTCAAAGAAGGTAATACATTAGCACAAGGCCGCTCGGCTGAAACCTTCGCCTTTGAATTCACGAGTTTTAACTCAATATTTTATATTTTCAAAAGTTATTGTTAACAATAGAAATAAAGAATGTGATTTGGGCAACTTTAAAGTACAAATAATATCAGAAGTACTCCATATTTCCAAGACACCTTGTGAGTCAATTCTACTTCCCATTTACAGAGGGTAACACATAACAGTAAAAAACTGACGAACCAGTGGCCCTCTATCGTGAGTTAAAAATTAAAAACTATTTACACTTATAAGATAATAAAAATACAAAAAAGAATACAGCTAAAAATTTAAAGATATGATAAAAGCTAAACATTTAAAAAATTTAAATCTAGATATGCACAACTAAAAACTAAGCTAAGAGTTTTTGGACAAAAAATATTTTCTAACAGAAGATTTAAAGGTGCCAATGGAGTCTTTCTTGCGAATGTCTAAAGGGATGCTGTTCCATAGTTTTGCTCCATTGGCTTGGAAAGTTCGCCCCCCTTCCGTTTCTTTGCTGTAGGAGGGGCACACTAAGTTATATTTTCCATAGCGACTGGTTCTGGTGTGTCGGTCTGAGTTTCTCGTTAAAAGTTCTGTTATATAGCTCGGACAATTTTTTTCATCTTTGATGCGCCTAAATATTAAACTAGTCCTTTTCAGGTTTAATTCTTCCTTAAGTGGCAGCCAATCAAGTCGTCTGAAAAGCATCTCGCTTCTTTCACCGATATCCGCATCCAAGATTACTCGAGCTGCTCTCTTTTGCAGCTTGGATACGCGGATAATGTTGTCTTCTGACGCAGTGCACCATGCACATGAGCCACACAACATTATCGGCTTGATCAAGGCGTTGAAATAAAGCTTACGCTCAGCGAGAGGCAGGTTACGCTTAATCTTCTTCAGCACCGCAATACGTTGTGACACTTTTTTACACATGTCATCTATGTGTTCAGTAAAACTCAAGTGAGTGTCTAATTTTACCCCAAGTAGTTTCTGTGAAGTTGTTTGCTCAATCTCGCTACCGTTGCATGATAATTTAAGATTCGTGTCTGGAGCCTTCTTTTCCAGTCGTTTGCCAGTTACGAGAACACTTTTTGTTTTAGAGGCATTAAGTACCATCTTGTTGTCAGATGTCCAGTCTGTAATCTTGTTTATGTCTTCTTGGAGCCTCTGCTTAATTGCAGGTAGATCTGAGACTACAGCGGAAGTACTTAAAGTAGTGTCATCTGCGTAAACGTCTACAGTCTTTGTCTTTGCAGACAACGTGATATTCTAGAGAATATTTTTTATTTATCCAGTTAAAGAATTATTTATTCATATCACGCGATTATTTGAAAATTTGGAAGCAAGTCAGTCTCAAGTACATCATCACGTGTTCTGAAATGGGGCAATAAACCGCCCAAGCGAAAAAGATCTATTCTTTTTGTTGAGCATGGTGATAACATAAAGTGAGTCCATTACAATCAAATGGATGGAGTTTGCAATCCAAATTACTTCATTGCTTTCACAGCCAATCATTGAGAAAACAAACAATAAGCTGATTTTTCTATTGACGTCAAACCCACCGTCGAATTTGTCAGGCTTTGGCGGAAATGCCGCAATTTCGACAAATAATTAAAAATTCAGCCCGAAATGAGCTTACTTTTCGAACTGTTGAGATGGAAGTGTGTGGAACTTCATAAATCAGAAACACTTGAGAGTATTTTAATTACCCAAAGCTAAACGAACTCATTTGTCTTGGCTCATTGGCCAAAGATAAAAGGGATTGTTTCGTCGCCTATTGTGGCTCAGCTCACGCGGATCTGACCAAGTCTGTTTTATATTCAAGAATTTTTTTCCGCTGATGACATGTTTTGAAGTCGACGAATTCCTCGTCGTTCTTGGTGACCTGTTCGATGTCGCGCTAAGTTTCGGACGTTGTCTTTGGTTTGAAAAGTTTCAAACAATCTTTTGTCCCTCAAACGAGGTTAGTGCTTGAGAAATTGAGTTTTCTGGCAGTCTTGTAGTCAAGCTATGTCCGATTAGTGTGATATTGTAATGCGCATCTTTTCGTACTGCGATGCATATACGACAGAGTTTTCTCAAGAACGTTTGCAGCAAAATCGAGTCTTTTGCAAATCACAGTAGCCACTCGCAGTGATTTATGGAGATTTTCATAAAGCCACAGAATAAAGCTTGCCGATAATAGTAATTTACCCTAAAATGGAATTCAAAGACCGGAAATCGACTCACGTATGTTGTTAGTATAAATACAGCATAATGTTCATCCTAGTAACATTTAAAAATCGCTAAATTGTTGTTGCTTTATTATTGCATACTCAGCTGCGCCGTGAAACTCATTCTGGAGTGATTGGTTTGCTCGATTTTTCCAGTGGTGGAGGACACAACTTGTTAACTTTATGATATTGACAAGCAATGTACTTGGACCTACTTGAAGCAGAAATTATGATTGATCGAATGACTGTATTTTGAGCGAGTCACGACCTGGTTTTACACTAAATTACTGAGTAGACATCATTGGAGGTCAGTTCAGTGAGTTAATTCGATTCACATGGCAGATGTGGAATTATCGAGTGTGGCTAATGGGTCGACAGCGCGATGCCGAGTTGTAACACGCAATGGATCAGACAACACCGCCGCAACGAACAAACAGCCACTAGCCGCCACAGACAGCTACAACATCGAAGCCGCTGCGGACGCCAAACTCCGAGGCGATTCCATCGACATAGGTTTAATCCAGAGAAGGACGTACCTGTTATCTGCAGGGATAGGGGACACGAATCGGGTTTTCAATCGTTTCAAAGGGTGGATCGGGCTCGTCATATGGATCCTAAACGTGATCATTCACTTCGGATTGGATTTTTACGAGGCAGTGTTTGTGTTTGAAGTGTCATGGGCCACCTGTATTGGGGTGTTTTTAATAACTCTCCTTGCCTGCTGTTATTCAATGATAAAACACTCAGTACCCTGGTTCATTAAAGGAGTGAGAAAGCTCAAGAAAGATGGACATTACCCTAAAACTTTACGGCGCGTTTACCTGATGTTCAAGGTAAGTTTGTGTACTTTGTCGCCTTCATACTGATCCCTTACTGTTTGTTGATTTCGAAATAAAAATGTTATATTTTTATCAGACACGTTCAAAAGCGTTTTGCGGCTCCATAGCAGTGAGATTAGCCGCGAGATCGTATTGTGATCAGACCCCTTCTGTTTGAATTCTTTGCGCAATAACCATCAAATTACTGACCAATTTGTGAGCGCTTTTATATCACAGACCTTCATCGCTTTTACAAGATTAGCCAAGATTACTTCCCTTTCGGGGAGATCTCAAGAAAATTAGAATACTGATCGGATGCAGGACTTCAATCTCTTGTCAGTTACGTTCCAAAGCATTTATCGCTTTTGCAATTTTCCCACACTACATGTTCTATAATTGACACTGAAAAACAGTGTCGTTAAGGATCGATCCACGTGAGTCCATTTTGTCAGCAATCAATCATTCGATTTTAGTTCGACCTTGGCAGATTGGGGTTGGGTGTCGTTATTTAGTTGTACGCTTTCTTTTCAAAAAATGTTTACTTTACGCCGGAAAAAAGTACAACTTTTCCTGAAGCTAGAAAGTAATTCACTTGAGGTACACAATACCCTGGAACCGAGAGGCAATAACATGCGGATGTATTCGAAGGCACACATTTAATTGCATTAGTAAGTTTTCTTTTGATGGTATTTTGTTGATTTTATATTGACCTGTATTTAAGTATCCCCTGTGGTTATACAAGAAAGCCATTCTTAAAATGCCACAGAGCTCTCTAAATGAGTATTTTTTTATACTTAATCAAGGTTTCCGCTGGAGTCCAGAATTCATCGATCGAATTTCAATTTCAAATAATTTCTATTAATTTGTACATTGTGTGTCTAGAAACTAAAGAGCTTTATGTACAGATAGAAATGTTTTTATTGCTTACGTGTGTCTCAAGTGAGTTTGAAAAGACTAAAATTAATTAAAATGCAATAGATTAGTTTGTTATTCTCAGAATAGATTGTCTAGCATATTTATTTTCCCAATTTTGTTTACTTCACTTTCAATGGAATCTTTTTTGATTATGGAATATCTGATTGTATATCAGATCCGATTAAATAACACCAATTAAAAACCCGAGATCAACAGATAAGATTACACATTGTTCTATGTTTTTATTGAATATGCAAATCAAACGGACAGGAGGTGTATTTAACTGAAACCAAAACTAATGTTACACTTCTGTGCAACCTGTCGAGAGGATTAAATTTGCAAATAATTTTCCAACGCCTTTGTAACGATTTTCAATTTTTCTTTCCATCAAATTAGTTTTTTTTTTTTTAGAACCGTTTCTTGGGTGATAAAATAAAAGAGCTCTCATGCATGTTAATGAGTTTCTCGTTATGTTCGTGAAAGTGACAATTGAGTATTTAGGCAACTGCTGCCTTGTTGTCAGGAGTCCTTTTATTATTAACTATGAGAGCACGTTAACAAAAGAACTGCTCTGTGAGCTAAACGATGCTGATTTTGCGATTTTTAATCTTCATCTTCACCCCAATTCTTTATGCCAAAGAAAAGGAAAATCTAGTTTTTCGAAGTCTCGAAATGGTAATTGCTTCATGTTGCAATAAACTATCAAAGGAATATTTTTCATGATTTTGTTTTACTTTGGCTCTTGGTTCCTCTTTTCCAGTGTTCAATTTATTTGACCGAAATAAACGAGACAAAGGGGAAACTCTTTAAATGGTTTTAAAATGTGGACTGATAAGGAAAATCAGTCATTCAACCCTTAACTTACTTAAGTGATCAGTATACAGTTTCTCTTTACAATATGAACACAGGAAAAGACAGGTGACGAGAATGAAGAATATATTCGTAAGATGGTTGAAATTTTCACTAAAGGACTGACTTGAAAATAAACGTCAATCGTTTAAGGGCCGGACTTAACATTTCGAACGTTGTACTGAAAAGATTAACCGACTCGCTGTGTAAAAACTCTTTTTCTTTGGCCATCTTAGCTTAACCAGAAATAACGGTGGTGATAAACATGACAATAAAACGCATTGTTGGAACTTGGCGTTTCGTATGTTTCGGCATACATCTTCAGAAGTGACCGTTGGGAATAGAAGTAACCTGAATTAAATTTTAAATTTAAGATAAGTGACTAATTAACAATAACAACGACAGAAGCTAACTCGCTGCGTTTTTGTCGTCAGTTTATGCCAATCGTAGTGGTGATGTTTGCTATGGGTGCAGCCATGGGCCAGTTTGGTTGTTATTGGTACGATGGAGCACTGAGACTGAGTTTCTCCAAGCTGTCCAATGAAACAGGAGTTGAAATCCCAGGGGAAATCGATGTGCTTTTCAACATACTCAGGGCAACCAGTCTCTTCCACATCTTCTACGGATTCTGCCTGTTGCTCGTGTTCCACCTGAGTTTGATCTTCATGATTCAAAGTTCCATGCGGGAATTCAATGGTGAGCTTTTCGCTGAACGATCATAATTCTTGATATTGACAATAAAGGAGCTCAGTCACGGTATTTTCAGTTGTTTTGGCCACGTACAAAAATTACCTTTAATTTAAAGGAAACCTGGAAATAGTAGTTTACTAAGATAGAAAAACACCAAACAGATAATAATGATAAACCATAAAGAAACAAGGATGGTTAAGGATGGAGAAGATAAACACGGATTACAAACGACGCACTTGAAAAATTTAGGCTAAACTTTTCAAGATGCGCAAACCGTGACACAGTTCCTGTAAGAGACACCAGCCCAGCCTTTGTTATAAACGAATCATGAGCGGAATCTCTTCAAGGTTGAAGGGGTTTCGGGGAGAGTTGTACATGCATCCACATGTATACGTCAGCGGAAAGCATTTTTCAGGACTGAAAACACTTAGGCCAGAGCTTGCGTTATCTAACATCCTTTCAGATAGTAATGCTAGTAATTTTATTCCTGTATACCCAAGTTAGAAAACCTTTATTTGCCACTTTACAAACGAGAATTGAAAGAACCTGGGACAAGTATTATCTCGCAGTGGCTTGCGGGACTGTTACTGGGACAAAACAAAAGACGTGAAGCAATCTTGTCCCCAGTAACGATTTTACAAGCGATTGCGGGATGTGAATTGGCGCAGACTCTTCTCGTTTCTAAAGTGGTGAATGGTAAAGAACTAACGTTGGTAAAAACTTGTGTGTTTTCACAGATCGTATGGGTAAACTTTTCCGCGAAAATCCAATCCAGATTGCTTTCCCTGAAGCTGTCAATCTGTTCTCCGCTCGCTCCAAGTTCGTTCATGAAGCAAGCCAAAAGAGCACGGTAAGATGATGGTATGCCTTTCTTTCAGGTGGTTCGTGTGTTGACACTGATGTGTGGGAGTCACTCAAGAAATAGTTTTTGTCAAAGGAAAACTTTGGTGATAAAATCTGTTTGCATTTAAAGTCTTGAAACATTGATATGGGAATAGAGGCTGGTATAATCAGTTATTATCGATAAGCTAATTCAAGGAGGGACCTGTCTGACATAAGCGTTTTGATGCAAACGTTTTTAAACCCCACAGTTGCATGTCCCTTTAGCTATGAACCACAAGCTTCATCCCTTTTCACAATTGACTTCACCATGCCTACACAGTCTCTAAGGCGTCACACATAGAACCACAATCTCTCTCTTATCCAACTCTCTCTCCTACCCAAACTGTTGCACGTCAAAAATGATATAATAACGAGATTTAACGATAAATTTCAACAGAAACGCGAGAAAAAAAGCTGCAACTAAGTCCTAAGAGCCATAAGGATGGTGTGGATCTCCTACCTGGGGGAATTAATTCCAAATATTTAGATAAATTTGATCAGTGCTTGAGAAATTCTTAGTTTTAAAACTTATTACTGTTGAAAAGCTCAATTCCATAGGAGCAGTAGTCCATTGACTATTAAAAACGTCAAAGGAAAAGTTTCATTGATAGTATCAGAATTTTTTGTTAGTATCATAAACTTTTGATAATATGTAGGTTATCTTTTCTCAACAGGTTGTCCTTACCACTCTTTTAGTTGCCTGCAGTACTTCCTTCGTTCTAAATGCCTACAACTTCCTTTTCCTAAAGCGCTTTGCTATTTACGTGTGGTTCGCTATAGCTCCCCTTATATGGGTGGTCTGTCCTCTGACCGGGGCGGCCTGGGTTACCAAGACATACCTGAAGTACAAACTAGTCGTGGTGAACGCCTGGGTGGACATCCCTGAGGTATGGCTTTTGCTCGCTCTTTTGTTTTCGAGATGGAAATCATTGTGGAGAGTCTCCCGCCCCGTTCACACTACGCCGGAGGAATTTGAAAACGGAGGTTTCACTCCGAGAGCGTATCTCAAGTATCGAATGTTTTCCGTCCACACTACGCCGGAGAAATTGAAAACGCAACAAAAACCGGTGTCATTTTTTTGCATTTGTGTTTGAGTAAAACTCGGGCGGGGGAATATCATGATTATCGTGACGTCATCGTTTTCAAAAAGCTTCGTTTCCAAAATGATTTCCGTCCACACTAAAACGCAAAGACGTGTTAGGTCTTAATTACATGTAACAGAAAAATATTAAATATTGTGATGATTTATTTCGCAGGAACACGAACTCGAGGCTTCTGCGCATGATTACTTACACGAAGTGAACTCGAACGGTCGGTCCAGATCTCCCTCGCCGGTGAAGAACATGTGGGGCTCGACAAGAAGGACGGCAAAGACAGAAAAAGATCAAGAACCCTCTACAAAGGCTGGCGATGCAGCTGGTGTTCAAAATCAAGGCTTTAAAGAGGACGACAGCAAGCAGGCTGCCATAACGGCAACGAAAAAATCTTCACACTCGAGGTATTAATACATAACCTGAGCAACTGGCGGAAGTTTGCTTACGAGTGCTCTTGTTTTTGGTGGCGAGTGTCGTGGCGTTCTCTCCGTTTCATTGCAGAGGGATGGAGTGAAAAATTTACTCGTGGCTTCTGCGAGAGAATAAAATGGCAGCTTCGTCACCAAAATCACTCGCTCACTATTCCCGCCAAATACGTACGCTAAAAAAGACCCGGGAACAATATTGCGCTTTGCACTCTGCTCTAAACCACCTGCTCTGTAGGCTAGAAGGGGCGTTGCCTATTTGCGGAATAATCAATATATGAACGGCAACCAGGGTTTCCAATTGGCTTTAGCTTTAGGTCAATTTTTGAGCTTAACGGCTGGCAACTAAGAATCTGACTGACTCACTGACAAAAAAAGCAACGACCAACAACAACAACAACAATAACAAGGAAAAGGAAACAGCAAGCACTCAAAAACAACAAACAAACAAACAAACAAACAAAAAAGAACGTGTGTTTTGAACATTAAGGCTCCCTGTACATGTATGCCGTATTTTCTTTATACAGCATTGTGTTTACGAGATAGTTTTCTTTATTGTGTTAGGAAAAACAGTGAAATATCTTTACACTTCTCTGTGGACGAAAGATCATCTAAACTGAAAGGAGGATCTCTGAAAGGCGTGACGCTCAATAGAACACCCGAGATATTACTGACGGATTGTGATGAGGTAACAGAGAATGTTGTCCCCTCACAAACCTTTCTTATGACAAGGTCTAGAAGCGAGCCTTCCCTGACCGATGTTGAAAAAGTAGACCGATTTTTTGAAAACCAGGACGCTGTCTTGACCGGAGGTTCATCGAACGAAAACATCCCAGATGTGGAATCTCGATCGCATGTGGTACGAATAGACATAGAAGGCTCACAATCGTCGGGAACTCGAGGCACTCAACTAACTTCCGGTTCCGGCGACACTATGACGACGTCGTCTGAATTTACCGCCAGTTTCTCAAGCTCCACGAGAAGCTCGGACGGTGGGAAAGTCACTGAGCAATTAAAAGTTCCTTCCCGAGAGGAAAACGCCCATACCACGGGAGAAAAGAAAGATTCTCTTCCAAGGGCGAACTTTCTAACTGGCATGGCGAAAACATTTCATCAGTGGAGAACAAAAACAAAGAAAAAGAGAAAGTTTAATTACGAAAAGTATATTATTTACCTAGAGAGTATTTTACCAACGGTCGGCTTTTCCATCGGGGGAGTTATAATAACCTTCAATGGAATTTACACCTTTATTGTCGTTTTGACTTTTTTAGTTGGGGTTTTCGCTCAAGAAGCCTTCTTTGGGAATTGAAAGTTGAAAAAAGGGATGAGCAAAATATGAAATCAGAGAGATGGGAAATGGGAAATAGTATCTGCAATGTTGATAATTTAATTGGGAAGTTTAAAAACGTGGGAAGACTTTTTTCTTAAACATAATAGGTAATTTTTATATTTATACTACGAGGTCTGACCTTGGGAGCTGAGAAAAATGTGGGAAAAAAAAAATTTCTGAGAGCTTGGTCATTTTATATTTTACGATAACGCCACGGAGTAATTATGAATATGAGTTTAACTTATGCTTGTCAGCGTTCGGTTTTTATACTTTGAAAATTTGCTAATTTTTATTAAACAGTTAATCCTTATCGACATTGTACGTTTATATATGTATATCTTATTAACCAAGCGCAAGGGCTGTACCGGGAGATGATCGGCCTGAGGTCTCGGAAGTACGGACCGAGCGCAGTGGGGTCCTTAGGAAGAAAATCGAGGGCTGATGTTTTCACTGCACGGTCCCGAGCAACTGTTAATGAGATAGATTTATTACACGACTGAAAATGTTTCGAAAAAAAAAATGCCACGATCACGGACTGGAAAAACATTGCAAACTTCAAGCGCGCAATTCTGATTGGGAGCCCGCTAGGCATGTACTTATGTCTGATGTTAAACAAAACGAAGGGAAAGAATGTTGAACAGAAAAGAAAACGAATGTTTCATGTGAGAGCAAGTTCTTCTAGAAAAGGAAGCCATAAAACTACCAGACAATCTTCAGAGCGATCGTGCGGGATCATTCGGGGCAGTGCCGGTCCAACACATAGAGAATATTGGACCGTCAATTGAACAATCTGATTGGCTGATTTTATTTATTCGCACTCTGAATTAACTTAGTCGTG